ATACTATTTTTGCAGAGAAGATGGTGGGATGCAGACTCAGTGGTAAATACATGGATTAGGAACTGCGTGATGTTCAGATTCCATGAGTAGTTATTATGGTAGTTAGCATGTATATAGTGCTTGGTATTTTGCAAGGTAGTTTACATTTATTATTTAATTAATATTAATATAACATGTTAATATACTAATTAATTCAATCCTCAAAAAATCCTGTGAGGTAGGTGCTATTTTTAATTCTCATTTTAGAGATGAAGAAACAGAGGTGTAAGAGGTTAAGTTGCTTGACTAAGGACATACAGGCAGTAAGGGTCTGAGGCATGAGTGAACTTAGGTCTTCCTGACTCTAAGTCCTGTGCTCTATCCACTGCAACATCTTGTTGTTAATGGTTCAGTGAATGGCAGGAAGTCTCCAATAGATTGTCCAGGCATCTATGCTGGCCTTGTGGCATTTAACTTTTTTTTTTTTATCAATGGTTTGGATAAAGGTCATAAAAATCTGCAGATGACACATAAAGCTGCCAAGGATAACTAACACATTGGATGAAAACCAACAAATGCAAAAAAAGATTTTGACAGTTCAGACCACTGGACCATTTCTAAGATGAAATTCGGTAGGGATAAATGTGAAGTCTTATATTTGCATACAAAACTTCAATTTACCGTAATACAAGATGGGAGAATCATAGATAGCAGATGATCTGAGAAAAAGACCTTAGGGTCTTAGTGGGCTCCAAACTCAATATGAATTGAACACTATGATGTGGCAACTGCCAAGGCTAATGCAACTGAGCTACATTAAGAAGGCACAAGTTGTAAGATTAAGGACATGTCCATCTCTCTGTACTCTGCCCTCATCTGACCTCATCACGAATATTATGTTTCATTCTGGATACCAGGGTTCCAGAAGGACATTGACAATTTGGGGAGCATGCAGAGAAAAACAAGTAAGATGGCGAAAGGATTTGAATCTATATCACATAAGAACTGATGGATGGAACTAAGAATTTTTTGCCTTTTGAAGGAGAGACTCAATTGGGGAATAATAGCCATTTTAAAGTATTTGAATGTCTGCCATATGGAAGAGGGATTAGACTTGCTCTGTTTGGCCCCAGAGAGAAAGATCAGGAGCCACCAGAGTTAAAGGGTGGAAGTTGCAAAGAGGTAAATTTAGTCTTGATGATAGGAAAGATTCCCATACAATTAAAATTGTCCCAGAGTGGAATGTGTGGCCATCCTAAGGTAGACTGTCCATTAGAAAACTTCAAGTACAGAAGGAAAGAAGATTTGTTGGGTATGTTATAGAAAAGATTACTCCTTTTAGGTGTGGGATGGTCTTTGAGGTCCCTTCCAACTCCAAAATTCTGTGATTCTCTGATACTGAGTGTTTGAGATCATCAACAGAGAGAAAATAAAGAGAGGCTGTTATTGTTCATCCTTCCTTCTTGAAGAGGACCAATAACATCAAGGGTGATGTCTCGACTTAGACATGAATTGGATTGAAGTGAGACAGAGCTATGCAAAGTCATCAGCCTCACACTCTCTTCCAGAGCTATCAGAGTCCAGTGGCAAGACATAGGTCAAGATGACTAGTGATGGTCCCAAATGCAGTGGGGGACCTTGCCTTTTTAAGTTAAGGTCTTTCCCAGATCTCAGTTTTCATAGAGGGAGAAATGATGAGTCTAAGCTCAGAAACTTGGGCAGAATGCCCACAATGAGGTGAGGGACCAGGAGGAGGCACAGGTGGGCAGGGAAGGAAACAGAAAAGAATCAGTCAGAGACATAGGAGAAACAATAGAGCTGTGCCAAAAAACAGAAGGTAAAAAGGAAGCCATGATACAAAATGAGGACTGATTAAGTAGGACAAAAGCTCGGATTTGGTGATTTGAAGAGAGGAATTTCAATAGAGTTGTGAATATAAAAGTTGGATTGCATGGGCATAGAGAATGAGTGAATGGGAGATAAGGAACTGGTCACTACTTTTTAAAGAAAATGGGCAGTGCTTAGCTTAAGATAACAGGTCAGGAAGAGGTTTTTATTAGGTAGTGCAGAATTGAGCATGTTTGTAAGCAGAAGCCAAGTAGCCAGTAGAGGAGGAAAGACTTAAGATGTAAAAGGAGGGTGGATGGAATTGGGAAAAAAAAAAAACTCAAGCAGAAGTCCAGTGAGTGAAAGTATTCCCTTAGTATTATACCATACCCAAGTACTGTGATCTGTTTCAGGAAATCATCTAATTCTTCTTTCTGTCCAATCATCCATTAGTGTACATAATGACAAAATGGCTTCTATTTATAGATCCATTGATGTTTCTTTCAATGCTTTCTACTTTGCTTCTTGATTCTGGCACCCAGATTTCTTTACTAAGAGTATATCTAGAGTATATACTAGAGTATATAATACACAGTGATACCGTACCCCACATTTTGCATATGCTACATCTTTTAAATAGGACATCATTTTTAGAGCCATATTTTAGTCATAGATTTTACCCTACCAAGTGTCACGGAAACATTTGAGGTCAAATTTGCCTCTTTGCATTAATACCTCCCATTTATCATCTGTGTTGGCCACACTTTGGCATTTCTTAATTGACATTTAAGGAAATGAGTCTTGTTCTTTCTCGAGTGAGACCGAAATTTGGAGTGATTTAACTGCTATTGCTCCTATTTTGGCACAATTTTCTTTCATATATGTCTTTGTGGAGAGACATACTGCCATACCTTCTCCCTTCTTTTTGCTTTTCCTATGTAGCCTCTGAGGGCAATATTAGTAAGAATAAATAGCAGTTATGGGGAGGTAGATTTTTACTCAGTCTAATGAAGAATTTTCTCACAACTAAATCAATCAGTCAAATAGTGAGAATGGCTAATTATTGAGTAAGAAGTTATCTTTAACCGAAAGAGTTCAAGCAAAAGATGGATGATCATTTTTTCAGGGATATTTTAGGTCTAAAGAGGATTATTTCATTATTTAAGAAGCTGGAGTAGAGGACCTCCCAGATATCTCCTATGAGTTTGGAATTCATAAGAGAGAAAGAGAGAGAGAGCCAAGGATGAGTCAATTCATATCAAGCATTCATTAAATGCCTACGTTGTCCCAGGTATTGAGTTAGGTGCTTTGGATGCAAAAACAAATATGTGACAGTCTCAAGCCCTAACAGCTTATTTTCCACAGGACCAGGGGAAATTCAAGATGTTTACAGAAATAAATATTATCCAGTAAATTTGGTGGGAATGGGGGATAACACTAACTGTTGGGGAAATCAGGAATTCTTGTTGGATTTAGCACTTGAAGTCAGCCATAAATGGAGCTGGGAATTGAAGATATAGAGATAAGTATGGGCTTGCCTCTGTTCCATGCATGGGAAACTGCCTTTGTCAAGGCTCTGAGGCAAGAGATGCAACATCATTACAGGTAGTTGAGTTCAACAGCAATGTAGAGTATGTTGAGGCAGTTATGTGAAATCAGACTGGGAACATATGTTGGACTTAGATTATGAAGGGTTTTAAATGTCACAGGAGATGAAATTTTAGCCATAATAGGGAGCTCATGAAGCATCTTAAGCAAAGTAGTGAAATCTCAGCGCCATGTTTGGGGGAAATGATGACAAAGATGACCACAAAAGCAATTGAATTTTGAACAGATGTACCCATTCAATTCATTGTCAAATGGAACTGATCATAGTTTCTCAGAGGCCATGTCATCAGAGCTCCAGTTTTTCCAGGTCAACTAAAGTAGAAAGACTTTATCTATGGCATCAGGCAAAGGACAAAGAGGCTTATCACGAGAGGGCTGGCTACAATGTGATGATTTTTTTTTAACCACAGCAATTCATAATCACCATCTATAAAGACATGGAGGAGTTGAGACCTAGACTCTAAATAATAAAATCACATGTTAATTTTCTCTAATTTTGTCTTTCTTTCCTGAAGCTATATAATATTTAACAATTTACAAAACACTTTCATATGCAGTATTTGATTTGATGTACAGAGAAAAAATGTTTCTGGTTGTTAGGGCAGGTCTTCCAATTCCCATCTCAGAAATGACAAATTAAGAGACAATGATATAAATGACTTGGCCAAGGGCACACAGCATGTAAGTGCTATGCTGAGGACTAAATCCTGTCTTTTCACTCCATTTCCAGCACTTTTTTGAGCTGAAAATGTCATGAGGAAGCAGGAAGTATTCAATCTGATGTAATTATGGTGGAAACACCAGGAATAGAGGCCATAAAGAATGATATCAAGGTCATTTACAGTCAACAAGAGCAGAGCGAGCCAGTAAGATAGGAACCTTGGTATTCATCAGCCAACATTTATTAAGCACCTAATACGTGCCAGGCACTTTGCTAAGTTTTGGGGATACAAAATGAGGCAAAAATAGTCCCTGACCATAAGGATATTACAATCTAATGGAGGAGACAACATGCAAACAAATATATACATACAAGCTATACACAGGAGTAGTAGGAAATCATTAACACAAGGAAGTGAGTAGAATTAAGAGGGGTTGAGAAAGGGTTCCAGTAAAAATTGGATTTTTAAAAAATTTGTGACTTAAATGAAACAAAAGAAGCCAATAAATAGAGTTGAGTAGAGAGAGAATTCCAGACATGGTGGACAGCCCAAGAAAATGCCCAGAGCCAAGAAATTGAGTGTTTTGTTCACGAAACAGCAAAAAGGCTAATGTACATGGAACCAAGAGTTGGTGGTATGGAGTAAGGTATTAGAAGACTGGAAAGGTAGAAAGGGTCTAGGTTACAGGGATTTGAATGTAAAACTGATGATTTTGTATTTGACCCTGGAGCAATAGAGAATCCCTGGCATTCATTGCTTGGGAGGGGTGACAGGGTCATACCTGTATTTCAGGAAAATCACTTTTGTCCCTAAATGGAGAATGGATTGGAGTGGTGGAGAGAATTGAGGAATCCAAGATTTCTGCCTCTCAACATTTTCCTCAGAAGTGCCAGTGTCTTATTCCAAGGACCAGGAATCAGCCCTTCACTGAGAGGTGGCTGTTCTGCTAATGAGCCTCCTAAGGGCATCTTTTATATCCTTATTCCTTAGAGTATAGATGAAGGGGTTCAACATGGGAGTGACCACAGCATAGATTGCTGAGGCCACTGTGTTCTTCCAGGAAGAGGGGGTAGCAGAGGAGCTCAAATATACTCCAAATCCCGTGCCATAGAATAAGAAAACAACAGAGAGGTGAGATCCGCAAGTAGAAAAGGCTTTGTGCTTACCCCGAGCAGATGGGACTTTCAAAATGGAAGAACATATTTGACTATAAGAGAAAAGGATCCCTGTGAAGGGAAGAATGCCCAACAGTCCAATAATAACATATATCAAGATCAAATTGATGAGAGTGTCAGAACAAGAGAGTTTCAGAACCTCAGCAAGATCACAAAAGAAGTCCTGAATTTCATGGTTTGTACAGAAGGAGAGCTGTGTTACCATCAGGCTGTGAAGAAGGCAGTTTAGAAGGCTTATTATCCAGGAGAGCAGCACCAGCAGGCCACAGAGCCGAGGGCTCATGACGGCTGCATAGCGTAGAGGGTGACAGATAGCCACAAAACGGTCATAGGCCATTGCAGTGAGGAGGAAAATGTCCATATCAGCAAAAACAATAAAGAAGGACATCTGGGCAAGACAGTCAGCATAGGAGATGGTCTTATTTTGTGTCAAGATGCTCACCAGCATCTTGGGGACTGTCGTGGTTACCACACATACATCTACAAATGACAAGTTGAAAAGGAAGAAGTACATGGGGGTGTGGAGGTGAGAGTCAGAGCCAATGGCCAACATTATGAGCAGGTTTCCAACCACTGTGACCAAATGCATGCCCAAGAACAGCGCAAAGAGGGGCCCCTGCTCATCTAGTTTTTCAGAAAATCCCAGGAGGATGAATTCAGTGAATTGTGTTTGGTTTCCTGGTAGCATGGGGCTGACTTTTCTGCTGGGAAAAAGAAATAAGAGCACGACATGAAAATACAATTATTTTCATACATGAAATGGAGAGAACTCTGACTCTGACTTAAAATCTCTGAGTTCTGTCCCTCTCTCTGCCACTTTGTGATCTTGGACAAGTCACTATTTACACATTTCATCTCCAGTGAAAGATGAAGGACTTACACCTAATGACCTCTAAGATTACTTTGAGTTCAGATAGTCTAAAACATGAACCACAACATTTAGAAATGAACGTTTTAAGAATCCCATCTGAAATTTACCCTAAAGGTCAACAACCATTGAGCCCTGGGATAAAGAAGGAGATACCATGGGCAGGGCAGGACTATTCCTGCAGACAAAAGCAAAGAGAGAGGACAGGGATCTCAAATGAATGAAGGTTTGGGCCATCCATTCTTCAACAGAAATCATAAAATCACATAGAAGTGGAAGGGACTTCATAGGACACATAAGACAAAACTATACCCCACAAAAATCCTGGCACAAAAATATACCTGGCAAGTGGGCCTTTCCTTGAAGACTTCCATACAAAGGAAACCTCTTGGCTTCCTGAGGCAGCCTATTTCACTATGGTTTTGCTCTCACTTTCCTTTCTATTGAGCCAAAATATGCCTGTTTTCGAGTTCCATCCAATGCCCTCATTCCACCCTCTGAGTGCTTACAGAACAAATCCCTTTTCTCTCCCACATAACATCCCTTTGAATATGTGAAGACCATGAGCCCATATTGCATGTTTTCTCTCCTTTAGGCCAAGCAACTCTAGTTCCTTCAGCTGATCTACATAGCCCTTCACCATTCTGGTTACTCTCCCTTGCATCCTCTCTAGATCATCAATGTCCTTTCTAAATTGTGGTCCCCAGAATGAAGTACAGAATTTCAGATGAGGTCTGATTATGTTCAAAGACAATGGGATGATCATCTCTTTCTTACTGGAAGCTCTGACTCCTCTAATGTAGGTTGTTTTCTTTAGGTTATTTTGTCTGCCATATAGCTGCTGACTCATAATGAGTTTACAATCCACTGGAAACCTCCTATGCATTTACAAATGCATAATGGTCTTGTGTGTTGGGGGAAGGTGTTCTGAGGGTTGTGTGCATTTTCCTTTCTTATATGCTGTAGTGCATGAGATCATCCTTTTAGCATTTTATGATCTTGTGTTGCTAAGGCTCCCCTGTGATAGCTTAGGGCTGGGCTGTATATGTGAAAGGGCACCTCTTTGAGACTCTGCCCCATTAGCCTTGAAAGGGTTTTGGGAGCTCCGGGCAATGACTCCTTCGAGTTCTGACTCTATTCTCTAGTCCCTTTAAACTGAGACATTGTACATTCTAAATCCCATCCTAGCTGGCAGTATGTTTTAAGTTCCTTTCCTATGATCCATGTCGTTTTGAAAAGGAAAAAAAAAAAACCTCACAGGAGCACATGGGCTAGGCCAACAATAGTGTAGATGGAAGGGCAATCAATGTTTAAATGGGTCTATTCAGTCCAGGAAGGTATTTCTAGAAAGAATGGAGTCAGGTCTGAGACTTTGGGGTAGACTTAACAACTTCAAACTTTTTCAGGGCTACTTGGTGTGTTCTTTATATTAACAAGCAAAGTCAGGAACAGTCTGAGTAAAAGAGACAGGATTTCTAGAAGGTGAATCCCTCTGAGAATTCTAGAAGCACTGAACCTCAGAACTGAAGTGGACCCCAGAAGTTATTTAGTTGAACCGATAGCTAAATAAGAATTCTGTCTATATGACCCATGGAAAATGTGATGTAGCTATGAAAAACACATACTGAGGTCTTCCTATATGGTTAGGCAGGCAGTACACATTTATTAAAAATTTTCCATGTGATAGACACTGTGCTAGGTGTTAGGGATGCAAAAACAAGAAATAAGAGGGGTGAGGCAGGGAAAGGGAAGGTACTACCAGTAGAAGGGCATAGAGACAGAGCCTGGAGACTCAGAGGCATAGACAGGAGGAGAACAAAGAGGGACAAACCTGAGTTCTTTCGTGAAATGATGAATTCCCTGAAGGAAGTCACCAATGGGAAAAGGAGGGTGGCATCTGGGAATGATGCTCCTGGGTACTGAGTCATGACTTTGAAATTTGCTGAGTCAGAAACACAGCAGAAAGGGTGATGAAAGGCCATTTTACAGATCAAAAGTCATTATCCAACTGCTGCTTGATGTTCTCCCATGAGCAGGAACCCACCACCTCCTGAAAGAACCCATTCCACATTTGGAAAGCTCTAACTGTAAGAAGTTTGTTTGCTGGTTTGTTTGTTTTCTAAGATCAAGTCCAAATTTGTCTTTTTGCCATGTCCTCTCTTGGCTAAGGAAAACAGGTCTTGCTAGTCATTCAAATACTTAAAGATAGCTACTGCTCCAGAAGAGGTGGGAGTAGAGGACATATCTATTATGGGCAGATACCTTGAAACCCAAAAGAGAATACTTGGAGACATGAAGAAAAGCAGTTTTTTCCCCTCATTTTTGGGGTAGTGTTGGTTGTAGTAGCAGGACTAGAGCCTGCTGGAGTTGACAGCAAGTAAGAGAGAAGAATCCCCCAGAAAGATTATCATGTCCAGGCTAAAGGAAGTCTGTGCCAATTCATACTTGGCTTATCCTCCACTAAGATTCTCAAGTCTTTTTCATACATGTAGGATATAATCTGGGGTTATTCTCCTAACCCACACTCAGACTAGCAAGTTGTGTACCTAGAGGACCACAACAATCTTTCCCCTCAAGTCTCTAGAGGGTACCCTGAGTTGTTTGGGTATGGTTCTCCAATACTTATAAACTTATAAGCTTCCACCAATGTGATTCATCTACTGATTTTGAGTTGATCTATGTTCCATAATGCTACCCCTCCAAGTCATCTTTGTATGTCATGGCCACACACCCAAACTTTTCTATGAAGCCCAAGCTTCTGTGTGTTCAGAAGCCTATACATTGAATCACTCCAACTAAGAGGATTGGGGAAAAAAATTCCTCGTTCTTTCCTTCCCTACTCTTTCCCCCTGCCAAAAGAAGTACAGAAGAATTCCTAGCATGACTTTCCAACAGGTAATTCCCAACCCTATCATACACAGAAGGAAGAACTGAGTTAAACTTGACTTATAGAAAAGTTGTTGTACCTAAGTGATCCTAATACGTATTATTTATGTTAATTTATTTTCCTTTGAAATATTTTGTATTTAAGTATCTATTAGAAACAGGAAAGTTAAGAAGTTGTGATTTTTTGGTAAATTCTTGCTTTAAATGAGTAAAAATAAAGTTAAACTGTGCAAAAACACCAGACAGACAGAATCGGTTTCTAGAAAGGCGTGTTTACTAAGGTCATATAGCATGACCAATTGGTATAAAATAATCCACCCCTCTAAAAAAAAAGGCAATGATACACTCTCCCACAAGTACAGAGATCCTGCAGGGGAAAGTGGGATCAAATTTAGAGAGTACTTGTTGTAAAGGGGTAGCACAGCTTGTGGAAGCCCTTTTCCTAAAAGTCCTTTTCTCCCCTTCCTGGAGCCCTCATGAAATTCCTCCTAGACACGGTGTAATGCTTGCCTGTGCTTTTTACAAAGTCCCAATGCTATAATTACTGGGAAGTTTTTCCATCCATCAAGTCTAAATATTATTTTTTTTTTGTAAATTCCTTGCATTATCTCTAGTCTTGCTCTCTGAAGTCAAGCAAAACACATCTAATCTTTCTCATGACAGCCCTTCAAATACTTGAAAGCAGTTGTCTTCCCCTCCCCTATCATGATATGCATACCCAATCTTACCTGTTCTTTAAAACCCTTCTAGCCTTTGTTTGGGCTCCTCTCTCTTTGTCTCTCTCCCCACCCCAGCCTTCTCCACATCCTTGGAAGCAGATAAATGCAGTAATTAAATGATAATTGATTAGAGTCTCTAGTTCACAATATGCTTGCATTGTATACCACCAAACAGCCTGGTACCAAACACTTCCTGGACTTACTCATAGTAGAACTCAAGGAGTTCTGGCTAATTTTGATAAGTTGATTTTTGTGTTTGTGTTATAAGTATCCTCAGTAAAAGTCTGAGTATGCAGAGGAATGGGGATAGGAATAGAAAGTGGAAAGGAAGAAGAGATAGGAGAAGGCATGAAATAAATATAATGGAATCAGAATTTCATATCATCTAGTCTATCCCCTATCAGAAGCAGAAAGAGAGAAGGAAAAAAGACCAGTGGGACAAAGTAGATAAAAGATGAAAAATACATAGAAATTACATTCAGAGATTAGGTAGAGGACAATAGGAAGTGCTATGGGAGTTAAAGAGATAACGGCTCCTACTGAATTTAAGAAAACCTGAGCAATGTGCATAGACATTGCAGTGATGGCTCATATAACACATAATGGCTGTAAAAGGCAAAACTAGTTGTCTTAATGACACAAGTAGGAATAGAACCCAGGCCATTGGACTCTTAAACTCCTTCCTGCACCACACTTAAGTCATGAGGTTCAATAGTAATACATAAAAGAGAGGAAATTTTGTTTTCCTCATCTTCAAGGCAACTGGGAACTCCTGTTCATCACCCCCTGCATCAGACTTGGTTCTATTTGCTTTCCCCAACTGTGTATAGAGTCTGTGTCTGTGTCCTCATCATATATTTCTTCCTGACGATCTCCCTAGTTATTCCAGCCCCTCCTCTGTAAATTCACCATTTTCGTGTCTACTTTCATATCATGGAAAATGATTTCAGCCTACCCAACAGATCCTATTAGGGTAGGCAGTCTTTCCACCCCTGCCCTCAGGCAAACTCCCTGACCCTGTGAGCTGTCCTCTGAGTGATAAACTCAGCCCACAGTGTCATTCAGAGGTCTGTAGAATCAGGGAATATAAGATTCATCTATGGTTTGTATGGAAAGGGCATTACCATAGCCCAGTAGTCTATATCTGTGAGTAGTGATATGACCTCTCTCTCTTTACTAGGCTTCCCATTGGTGTAGCTGAGATTTACCTCTGGT